TGTCCAGGTGTATTACAATTATATTTTTTAATAAATAAGAATAATGTCCTTGAAGTTTTAGTGATGATTTAGTTTCTTGTTTAATCTATAGATTACTGTTTAATAAACTTTCATGCAACTTATCTTTGTTTTTGCATGTTTTAATATTATAACTATGTGACAAAGTCTTAAAGATTTCAAATATTTTCATGGAATTTTCGCTTAATAGTATACGCTAGTATTTCCTTTTGATGTCTTGACTATAATGAAATAACCTGCGAAACGATAGAAGTTTTGCTAGTTTGACGTTAATAATTTTAGATTTTATGAGAATTTATAAAATTTTAGTCATGAAGTCAATTTAAAATTTCCAAACAAGATAAAATTACTTAATATCATAGCGTCAAAATATTAATATTAAATTTGTATTGTTATAGAAACAATAGAAATTTAGATACTGAATATAGGGACTATATCAATTTAATTAATAATTGTAAAGATAATCTAATATTTGAGATTTTTCGGCGAGTGTAGTTTCTTTTAGGTTCTCTTTTGATTGCAGTATTATACAGGGTGGCATAATATAGGGTGGCGCACCTCATTCGCCTCGGTTGATTATACGAAAACGGAAAGATGTAGAAACAAAATATTTTATGGGCATATGGAGGCAGGCACTGTGCATAATTTAAAATTATTTTGAAATGTACAAGTTGTGTCAGAACTAAGATCCATAACCATAAGTTATATTTTTTCTTATGGAACACCCGGTATTTTATTTTACTGTTGGATTCTTGAACATAAAATAAGGCATTTATTATAAAGGTTTAACATGTTTAAAAGCTTTGGGTTTTGAGATATTTAAAGATATTTAAATATATATGCTATAATAAAAAAGTTTGTTAACACCTTGTACATTACTTTTCAGAATTACTTCTTGTGCTGACTTTCAAGCCAGAGAAATAAATTTTACTAAAAATTTTGAATGTGTTCTTAAATGTATACAGGGTATCAAAAATTGCTGGTCTACTTTAAATATTTATTTTACATAAAAACTTCGTTATTTCAAATGCAACATTATGTATTTTTTTAAATAAGTCGAATCAGATTTAAATGCTCTTTCAAACTGTATTAAGGTTTCCTCTACCTATCTGGCTCAGATTTTGAAAAAAAAATTTTCAATAAAATTGTAATCAAGATGTCTGGTCTCGGCCTGGCAATTTTCTAGTGACACTTAGAGTAGCTATTTTCAAAATCTACATTAGTTTTTGTGTTTTATTTTAATTTATAACAGGTTATTTTTGTTTTGGTACCTCCAGTAAGTTTAATAAGTAAGCATTTATAATTTTATCAAGAAATATGAAGCAGTATCTGTGCTAGCGGAAGGAATGAATATGTTACTAGTGATTTTATTTTGTGAGGACAACTGCTTGTTGGTCTGAAGGGTTTTTTGCTCAAAGATATCTAAATAGGAATTTTCTTGACAAGCGTTCCTTTGAAAAACTACTTTTCCTATTTCGAGAGCTGATAGTGTGGCATATGAAAAACCTATTAGGCAGAAACCTATCGTTGGAAGTGAAGAAAATGAATTTGCCTTAATTGGTTGTTTTATACAAAATCCAATATATCTACAAGTCGTCGTATTATAAATCAAAGAACTACTTCTTTATTTTTCTTGATAAAATAATAAATACTTACTTATTAAACTATTGTAGGCAAATTAAATATAAAAGTAAATTGTTATAAATTAAATGATAAAGTCCATAAACTAATGTCGATTTTGAAAATAGTCAACATAGTAGTACAGCCATCTTGATTACCATTTTATTGAAAAATCGCTTTTTATTCAAAATCTGAGCCAGATAGGTATAGGAAACCCTAGTATAGTTTGAAAGAGCATTTAAATGTGCTTCGACTTATTTAAAAAATACATAGTGTTGTATTTGAAATAACGAAGTTTTTATTTCTTAGTTTTCTTATTGAATTCGATAATTATTTTTCTGATATTATATGTACTCGATGTGTGCTATACGTCGATACTAGTTTTGTACCTTTTGTTAACATTTTAATAAGTCTTTTTCGTAATTAATTAGTATGATACCATCGTATACACTATAGGCGTAGTCAAAACATTTATCAAAAAATATAAATATCTCTTCAAACAGCTAGGTTGTTTGCTACACTGTTAGGTGACATCGCCACAATTTGCTCTCGGGTGTTATTTGTCCTTGGATTCTTTAGCCATTGGTTTCATCCTATATTTACTGGACTATGATAAAAATGCTATAATATGCTGAAAAAAAATGTGTATCCAAAACATTCTAAATTCATTCCATATATTATCGGGATTGTTTCCATAAATGCAATAGTGTATATGTGCGTCGATGCAAAATTGAATGCGACTTGAACTATTCACTTTATCAACACAATTATACGTTAAATTAATAGTATAGCTATTGCGTTTTGAATATCGAGAACGGTTAGAATGCACAACTAGATAGGATGGAAATAAAATTTAGATAACCGACCCAATATCAAGGGTCAATCGCTTTTGAACAGAATTAAATCGATAGTCATTGTAAATATGGACCTATTTGATGTTTATGAATATGTAAATATTTCCTTTAAAGTTCCATATTTTTTGGTATTGACTATTGACGAATTTCTATTTTTGCTGGGTATATGCCGTATAGTATGTATTTATGCAAGTTGAACAAATAGAAAGGTAATTCTTTTTGGTCATCATTTAGAATAGGTTCCAATATTGGAACCTCTATACAGGGTGGTTACAGATAAAAATAAGTAAAAAGTTCGTATAAATGTATGTACTAAAATGCTTAGTTTCGAATACACAGGGTGGTGTAGATGTTTCTTTTTTATTTCGATTTTTTCCATATAATTCTTGAAGTAACATCAATATTTAGATGAAAATTGCTGTTTGGGAGTTTGTTGACATGAAAAATTTGATTTTGATATCAGCATGACTCCTATTTGTGGGGGGCGCCAGCTACATGTGTTATAACTGATTTAAAGAGTAATAACTTTTTGTCCGTACCTGTATAAAACTACTGAGTGAAAAGATACATTTCAATAATTTTCTACGTAAAAAATGTCTCTTGGTAAAAATTGCTGCGAGCAACCGTTCTCACAATATATAGAATGAAAATAGTCAATACACGTCATTATTGAGAAAAAATAAACAATGTTGAGTAGATAGTTATTTGACTGAAATGATAAATTTGAGAACTTTTTTTTTTTTAATTAATCATAAATTTTTCTTCGAAAAAACAGTTTCTGTTGAACTTTTGGCTTAAAAACATTTCAAATTTATGATTTCAATCTAAGGACACAAACAGAGGCATCTCCATGCGATGCTCGCCAATATGCTGGCCGCGCTGCTCGCCAGGATGGTAGCCGCGATGCAACTACGCGCACTGTTTTAAAACGGTGAATAGGTGCGCGTAGGCATACTGAAACATTTACCATCGCCGTTTTATTAAGCACCAGTTCATGTAATAGTAGTTATTAATTAGTATAGGCTTGGTGTATTTCAGTTGATTTCAACAAATTCCTACTGCAACGAGTCAATGGCAAAAATCAGAAATTATCCCTATCTATTTCACGTCGCTGTCATGTTGATCGCATAGAATAATATTGAAATCGTGCGGTTTTGTTATAATATATAAGTCTTTTAGTTTTTTGCTAGTGCAGTCATTGAGACAAAAAAGAGGTAAAACACTCAGGTACCAGGTTTGTGTGATGTAACGCTGTTTCGGATAATAAAAAATAAATGAAAAAGAATTGGGACTAGGCGTCGGCGTCGTGCTGTGTTGTGACAATTTCAAATGTTAATAAAATTGTCGAAAAAATGTTAATGCATAAAGGAGAGCGCAATTAGGGCGTTGTTGGGTGCAATTATATTCAATAACTCAACTTTCCCGGATATTCAACTCTCCCGAAACAAAATTACTACCCAGATAGCACATTTACGTTCTTTTCATATGCGAAGCAAGTGACTTTGGAGAACAACAATGTTCTATTCACATTCCTTTTTTTCATTGGGAACATATATGGCACATGAATAGCAGAGATTACGTTCCACCCTATTCAAGTGATATAGAAGTGCGTTTCACATTCCAAGATATAATGTATGAACGTGAATTATATGTTCGTAAAAGAATGTATTTAAAAATAATATTCCAATCATATGATATTCATGTTTTTAATATTCTATATTTATGCTTTTCATATTTTTTTATTATCTACAGAGGCAAAATAAAACACTAATTTACCACAATACACCAAAACACTTTACTTTTGCACAGGACGCGCGTTTCGCTAACCATGTTAGCATCATCAGCAGATGGTCAAAATTTAAGTTTTAATCATCTACTGATGACGCTAACATGATTAACCAAACAAGCGTCCAGTTCAAAAGTAAAGTGTTTTGGTATATTGTGGTGAATTAGTGTTTTATTTTGCTGTTGTAACACCAAATATTCTAATCCTCAACTCTGTATCTACAGGGTGTCCTATATAAGGATGCACTGTACCAATATCCTATAAACTATAGATAGACACAATTTTTTTCATATTTAGCAATTTTTTTATCTCTTAAAATCTACAGGATACCTATACAGTACATTCATATCTGGAACACACTACAAACAACTTGCTGAAATTAAATAATTTGATGTGTAATAATAAAAAATTAAGTAATAAATAGAACGGTTAAAAATAATAGGTAAGGATAAAGACGAACTTGAGTAATATATGTTTATTAATTAAAAATATTTTAATATAACAATATACATTGATATTATCTTCTATGTCTATGTTTTTATATTCTCTTGTCTACCCTTCTGAAATAATATCAGCAAAATTATACTGTTCAAATAAATTTGCACAACTTACCTTTGTTTTGTTGATCTTTCTTTTGTTTTTACAAGCCATATTTTAATTATATTGATAATTTCGGTTTCTTTTGACTCTTGAAATTGACCTTTCATGGAGTCAATTGCAAATATCTTTAAGTTCAGATACCTAAAATTGTCTTTGGCCACTAACAATGATTTCAAACTTCTCTTCTGGTTGGCCCCATCCCAAGAATATTTTTGTGCAATTTCATTGCCCAGAACCTTATAAAGCACTTTCCTTGTACTTTGTGCTACTCCTGAACCACCAAGTCTAGATAATTCTCGAACCTATTAATTCTAAAAAATACCTTTCTCTTAAAAAATACACAATAAATGATTATAGAAGAGCCTACATAAATACCTATATAAATACTACATTTTAGGAAATTTCAGCACTGGAACTCCACTTATTAGAACAGATATCTTCGATGATACTACCAGAGATACTACTACTTTGATGATGTACAGAGGATAATAAAGAATCACTTTAGTCTGAATCCAGTTTAATGTACAATATTGAAGTCATATTTGCGTAACATTGTAATAAGATTTTGGCTCCTTTTTTTTGGTTGAATTTTAAAATATTTTTTAGTATAACCTATTTTTTTCGAGGTCTCATGGTTTGAGAACATTAAATTCACTCCCCTTAAAATAGATACTGAAAACACAAACATAACAAGAACTATTTTACCGATTCTATCCTTAAAATAATTATTTGCATCACTTACCTTTACGTTACCTCAGTGTTTTAATTATTAAAATAGTTTGGGTCACGTTTGGATCAAGCACGTTCACTTGTTTTTTTTTGTTAGGTTATGTTATGGATGTACGATTCGAATCGATTTCAATCGAAGATCGATCTTTTTACCCAGAAAATCGATTAAAATCTATCGAGTTTTATCAAACTATCTTTTGGTATAATCGATCTTTTTATTTCATAATGGGGTATACCCATAATGGAAGATCGTTTTTATTTATACAGTTTTACAGGTTTATTTATTTGTTAGAATAAGAAACACTGTATTTTTGCTTGAATATTTGTTTACAGTGCATCTATATACACTAATATATAAAATCCCTAATAATTATATTTAATACACAAAAATTTAATAGTAAGAAAATATACAAATATAATGTATTGTATTTATTTTTTCATTTCGAAATCATTTTTATTCTCCTTTATTTTTATTCAGATATGTTTAGAACGTGAATAGCAGATACTTATAATTTATTGTAAACCATAATTTAAGAAGACATTCTAAGGTCATGCTGATAATATACCTTTAAATCACATTCATAGTAGAATGTACTATTCATATGCCATACTTATTAAAAAAAGAATATACTTATAAGAACTTAGGAGGAATATTCTTAGAATGTAAATGTTCCTTTTGCTGCTATCTGGGTATGGGAGGGTAAAATATAATTTGCAATATTAATGGTATACTTTTTTAATCAACTAGTGATTAAAGTACTTGCTATAAATAAATAAAGTCCATAAACTAATTTCGATTTTGAAAATAGCTACTGTCACTAAAAACTTGCCATGACGACATCAGCCATCTTTGTTGCCATTTTATTGAAAAATTGCTCTTTATTCAAAATCTGAGCTAGACAGGTATAGGATACCCTAATATAGTTTGAAAGAGCATTTGAATCTGTTTCGATTTATTTAAAAAAATACAGGTTGTCGTATTTGAAATAACAAGGTTTTTATGTAAAATAAATATTTAAAATAAATCATTAATTTTTGGTACCCCTGTATAAATTTAAGGGAGCAATACAATTTTTCAGTAAAGTTTATTTCTCTATCTGTAAACTCAGAATTAATTCTAAAAAGTAATGTACAGGGTGTTGATAGTCTATTCCATTGTAGCATGCATATTTAAATATCTTTAAATATCTCAAAAACCAAAGCTTGTAAACATATTAATATATAATAACCCTTATAATACATGCCTTATTTTGTGTCCAAGGATCCAAATATGAAATAAAATACCGGGTGTTCCATAAGAAAAAATATAATTTTGGTGTAAATCTTAGTTCTAACATGCCCTGTACATTTCAAAATAATTTTAAATTATGCACATGGTCTTCCCACATATGCCCATAAAATATTTTGTTTCTACATATTTCCGTTTTCGTATAATCAACCGAGGCGAATGAGTTGCGCCACCCCGTATATAGGCGTTCCATTTAAAAAAATATTCGCGATCCACTCACACTTTTTTGAGCCACCCTTTAGAAGTTCTTATATTTTCCTCAAATACATACAATACATACTTTATGTCTGGACTACAAAATTCATAAGTTTGATAGGTATTGATAATTTCGATTCCAAATATCTCGACAACCATTACTCGTAGCAATTTTTAGCAAGATTTAGCCGATTTAGATTTTTTACGTAAAAAACCGTTGTAAATGTATATCTCTTACTCAGTAGTTTTATACAGGTACAGACGAAAATTTATTACTCTTCAAACCATTACAGTTGAGGGTTAGTACGTTCGGTGTTACACAGCAAAATAAAGCATCAAATCACCACAATGACACACCACCCCCCCCTCCCCAACGAAGGAAAGAAATGTTAAAAATTATTTATCATAATTATGTAGAACCAGGGATAGAAATAGGTGGACAAATTGTATGGGCCTCCTCGATCACCTGACCTATCCATTTTAGATTTTTTTATGCGGTATGGTTAACAACAAGGTTTACAAAAGAACTTATGAATTAAGAGAGGCACTCGAAGAAGCGGTGCAGGAGAAGCTTACACAATACACCTAAACACTTTTAATTTTACACTGGACGCGCGTTTCGCTAACCGTGTTAGCATCATCAGCAGATGATTATAAACTCGGACTTCGAACCTTTTTAAACTTGTCCCTAATTCCATTATAATCTATTTTAGACAAAAATTTTCAGATAAAAGTTGTAGATAATCACATCCCTAATGAGTTTTTCTCCTATTTTTTCTAAAGCCTGTCATTTTTGACGTATGACACAAACATATGTTTGTTTTAAATAGAAACCATAGTTGGCGATGACTTCATAAAAAGCGCCATTTTTTAAGATTTTCAGCGATATAAGCTATAATATGTTTTTTTCACAAAATTATTGAGTTATAGGGGTATAGCCAATTCTCATCTTTCTTGACTAATCTCACTTAGTTAGCCATGGAAACAAGTTCAATCGTCGTTGCTCTCAGAAATGTGAAACTGTCACATCCAAACTTTGTAAATTAAAATAAACAAAAATTGATATGAATTTTTCAAATGAAGAAATGCGTGTATGATTATTGGTTCAACTTTTCTTGGCCATACAGTTTCGAGGATACGTTGACCGGTGAACGTTACTTAGTACGTTTAGAGAACGGTTTTCAAGACATGTTAGAAAAGTTAAATTTAGATGCTCGCGCATTAATAGAGTGGTTTCAACATGACTTTCATTATGACACACCACACCCCCCCCCAACCACCAAGGAAAGAAATGTTAAAAATTATTTATATCATAATTATGTAGAACCAGGGATAGAAATAGGTGGACAAATTGTATGGGCTTCCTCGATCACCTGACCTATCCATTTTAGATTTTTTTATGCGGTATGGTTAACAACAACGTTTACAAAAGAACTTATGAATTAAGAGAGGCACTCGAAGAAGCGGTGCAGGAGAAGCTTAATTAAGTCGACCGGTTGTTCTGTGAGAATAACTAGAAATTCAGTTTTAAAAAGATGCATTTATGTACTCAAAACAATGGCGGTTTTTTTAACATTTTGTAAAATAACTTAAAGTGTATGTAGTGATATTATTTTTTTAAGTTTTAGTTTGTGTAACGTAAATTGCAAAGAGTCCTTTAATAATATATTTTTTCTTTTTATAAGTTATAAATCATAACAAATAATATATTTTTTCTTTTTATAAGTTATAAATCATAACAAAATAAGAACACCATACTAACTAAGTAAAATTAGTTAAGAAAGATAAGAATTGGCTATAACGCAGTAGTTTTTTGGCGACGATTGAATTTGTTTCCATGGCTAAGTAAGTGAAATTATTCAAGAAAGATAAGAAATGGCTATAACCAAAGAATATTTTAATATAACTCAGTAATTTTTTGAAAAAAACATATTATAGCTTATATCGCTGAAGAGCTTAAAAAATGGCGCTTTTTATGAAGTCATGGCCAACTATGGTTTTTATTTAAAAAAAACATATGTTTGTGTCATACGTCAAAAATGAGTCTTTAGAAAAAATCGGAGAACATAAACTGATTAGGGATGTGATTATCTACAACTTCTATCTGAAAACTTTTTGTCTAAAATAGATTATAATGGAATTAGGGACAATTTTTAAAATAGCCAAAATTTGGTTTTTTCGAAATATCTAGTAAGCCATGAACTTTTTCTAAAATCTGAAAGGCGCATATTTATGACCCCAAAAAATTGCAATCCTTTCCCCATTTAACCGACTCTCTATCTCCAGTACTTTCCGAGATACCCATAGAGAACATCGATCGTAGGAAACTCACCCTGTATATGTCATTCTTAACCCTCAACGGCTACACTGAATAATTTTCCCTTAATCGCTACATAGAAGTCTGGTAGACTCCTCCATTAAATTACATATTTTAATAGAAAGTAAAATGTTTTTGTGTCTCTCTATACATTTTTTATGTAACTCTATAATAAGCAGCTACATCCCAATATTGGTACGTTATTTATTAAACAACCCACTCATATTAAGCTACTCTCAAAGTGTAGTTTTTTCTTGGCTACAAATGAAATATAAAAAAAACGTTATCTGACGAACTTTGGATGAATTGTAGCTTATATGAGAAACTTCACGTAACGGTAAACAAGGTTGTCTACGTTCCAGACAATAAATAAATATATATTTGATTTAAAAGATGATTGAACTGTTGTTATATTATGCCTAGGAGCTACTGAAATATGACTGAAAACATTGATTTTATTTTATTAATACAAAATATTTAATAAAATTCCCAGTCCTTTTTAAAATGTCACTGCCTCTAAAGTATAGTTCCTAGGCCCACTCTGCCACTTAAAATGTTACTCTATAAGGAATAGTCACTTTGAAGTATATTTCGAGAGTGACCGGTTAGTGCCTACCTACCATAAAAGTGGAAAATAAAAACCTCGATTGCAAGTCGCAAACATGTAATTTAAAGAAGTGGCTGGAACTATCCGAATCTTCGAATATGACACAATAAAAGACCAAAAACTTTGTAGTAACTTTTCAAAGTAGGGGTTACTAACAAGTGCTACCATAATGCCTCCATTAAGTTTTGTTACTTTATAGTAACAATTTAAGTTACGGGGTAGTTGCGGCCACGACGCGACACTTTGTTATTTTTTACAGTAGCATTGAAAATAGCAAAATGGTTACTGCTACCTTCCTAGGTTACTATAAAGTAACCCTTCCCGTCGCTCATCAAAGAATTGTTGACCATGTAGTTCCAAAAAAGTTATTGTTTCTATAAAGTCGCCTTTGGGAGTTTAGAATTCTTTAGAATTTAGAATGAGTGGGAGGGGGGTTAATCACTTCGACCTTACAGATCCATTGTGTCCCCCTTTCTTGAATCATAACTCATCATACAGTCCCAGGGCTTTGACAAAAGCCAGTATCTGGGACGGTTTTATAGAGGGTAGTTCTCCATCTCCAATATCAGTCGTACCAAAATTCATGGCACGAATGGTTGTCGTCTCGGCGCACTCAGTGATGAGGTGTACTGGTGTTTCACCATCTTCCCCACAGAATCTGCATTCGCCGTTTCTTCTTAGTTTCAATCTACTGAGGTGTTC